ATCACAGACATTCACAGATCGAACGAAGAGAGAGAGAGAGAAAAAGAAAAACCAACCTAGAGAAGAAGAGAGAGAGTCATATTCAAAAAGAAAAACCAACCTAGAGAAGAAGAGAGAGAGTCATATTCAAAAAGAAAAACCAACCTAGAGAAGAAGATTATTCAGCCCACAACCCCATGGAGACTCCAAAAGCTTCTACACCCGTGCTCCATACGCCAAAAACCAACTTGTGAAATCACACTACAGGACGAAAATCGCAAGCTTCAGGCATCAACCACCCAAAATTCAGCTAAATTGGAAAGTGGGTTTTGGTGGAGAAATGGAGCTCACAAAATTCAAAGGGGCCAAAGCTTTTGAGGTCAGCCATGTGGTGTAGGTTTCTAATCCACTCCGGGAACTGCCATTTTCTCTCTCTAAGAAAAACACGGTTTCAAACCGGAATTAGTGGAAATGGACCCCCATGATTCCCCCCATCTCTCTCGCACTAGCTCTCTCCCTCTTTCTCTCTCCTCCTTTCTTTTTCTCTCACTAAAAATTTCGAATGCCCAGAAAAGAAGCATCCTTTCCATGCTTACCCTTCACTGTACCAGAAACTGTGACTTTTTCCCCGCCAAAGCTTTACAAACAAGAAAAAACCAGACCCCAACCGTATATATATACCGTTTATAGCCGTATGTTTATACGGCATAAATTTTTCAAATTTAAAATTTTGAAAAGTTTGACTGGACGGTAAGAACTGACCTGTCCTTATCAAATCCGACATTACCCTGTGTGCCCCTTATCTCCATTAATATCCTTTAAAATCCTTGTAGACTCTATAGCCTCATACTGTTGTTGTAGGCTAGGGTTTGGTGTGTGAGGGCCACACCTATCAATATAAAAAAATTAAAATTTGAACTCTAAAATTAGGTATTTTGAAACTTTTGGGCTTGAAAATAAAGCTCTTGAGCAAAAATGCATTTGGAGTGACTTAAGAAAAGAAAAGTAGTTTGTGTGTTAGGGTATACACTTCTATAATAGCGTCCCTTGATACACATATCATCCATTTTAGAGATGGATGCCGCAAAATAAAATATGTGATTGGATGGTTTGGGGTAAGCCACAAAATTCAAGAAATATTTTCTTTTGGTACTTTATGTTTATTAGATGATACTATTACAACAATCAATTTTAAAATTTAAAGGACAAGCATGGTCGTGATATTCATATATAAAAGATAAATGGTCTCTTTGTAAACAATCTTTTTTAAAAATAGATCGGTGACTTAGATTGTAGACACTCCAAAAACAAGTCTGAATCAGTGAATCAACGGTTTGGATCTCTATTTTATTGTAGAGAATCGTCGTTTTACTGTGCAAAACGACCGGTTCCTTTCTAGATTCAACCGTTTTCCTATATATACACAGAATCGGAGCGGAGTGATGTGTTGACTTGGTGCTTTTTAAATATTAGACAAAATAGTAGCCCAACAAAAATTTGCAATAGATGGTGTTACAATTATGTAAAAATATTCTTATTTTTTATTTTTTAAATTTATATTTTGAAGGTTCTGCTGGCTGGCTGAGATTTTCGTTCTTTTAAATTCTAAATCCAAAATCCATCTCCAAAATAGATTAGGGAGAGAGGACTCATTTAAATAAGTGAGTTGGCCGACTCATATAAACCTTGTCCTTAAGAAATATTTAAGATCCCAAATTCATTAAAAAAAACAAGTTGGATTGGAGGAGAAATGAGCTTTTCTTGGTGTAAACTGACATTTTTTATTGAATATTTTCTTTTTCGATTGGATCGCATGACTCTATCTCTCTTCCCCTTTTTTTATTCTATATTTTTCTTTGAACAGGTGGAGCCCATAAATCTCTCTCTTTCCCTCCTCTCATATTTGTTTGATTATTAAATTTTAATTATATTGGTAGATTCGATAGTTGTGACAAATTTGCCTTGATTTCCGAAACAAGAGAAAGGGAAGTTTATGCATAAATTATATTTTGAAGAATCGAAAGTGTTGCAAATGTCCTGATTTCAGTGCAATAAACATTCTATCAATCCCATGAATATTGGAAGTACTATGAAATTAGAGAGAGAGAGAGATAGAGCACATATAAATATATTATAACATATATTGAGAATCATGATAGTCAATTTTAAAAGATAAAAGGCATTTCAAGAGTCTCTATAAATACATTTTAAAATAATAATTCTATAAATACATTTTGAAAATAATAATCTATCTTTTAGGGGTCTTCCTTCGAGAGTGGGCAGGGCATTGGCATTACTCCATAATGAAGTCTCGTACTTCATTTTTACCAAAAGGTACGGTCCAAAGTCCAAGCAACTAACCCTTTTTTAGGGGTATTACTTTTAAGCTATAGTTTTTAAATCGCAGATACATCAAAAATAGCGGATCTAGACCAAATTTGGTAAACTCTCAATGACCCAGGTAATTGAAATTTGCCATTCGGTTTAGAAAACTTGGTGATTCCAAATTTGTGTAGATTTTTATTTTCTTATATATTTTTGTGGCCCCAAGTTTTAAATTTAGGGGTGGCAACGGGTCGGACAGAGTTGGGGCTTGGCCAGACCTAGACCTGGACCCAAAAAAAGATTATGGCACCTTCACCCGAACACGATCGGACATGAAGTTATCGGACCTGGACCCAAACCCGGACTTGACCGGACCCGATTAGATCCATCCAAAAATAAAAACTATATATATTTAAATAGTATTGTAAATATACATATGTATTATTCAAATATTATGACTAAAAATATATAATTATATTTGTTTAAATATTATTAAAATAATATAAAAAATAACAAAACCCCCCAAAAATAGGCTTTCTAGACAACCTTCCCCAACTAAGTTTTTTTTAACAACCTTTATCCCAAATTTAACTTTCCCAGCAAATGCCCCTCAATAAAAAAAAGTAAAGTAAAGTACAGACTAAAATACCTTCCCTTTGGCTTCTGTAAAGCATGTGGTCCGACACAAAATAAGGGTGATCCGGCACTTTGGGCTTCTGGAAAGCATGCGGTCTAGCACAAAATAGCGGCGATCTGACACTTTGGGCTTCTAGAAAGCATGCAATCCGACACAAAATAGGGGCGGCCGTCACTTTGGGTTGCGAACCTTTTTTGGTAGTGAGCTAGTCCACGTAGATGTCTGGCTGTATGGGGTATGGGCATTTTCGTCAAAAAAATAAGACTTTTTTAGTTAGGGGTATTTGCTAGGAAAGTTAAATTTTGGGTAAAAATTGAGAAAAAAAATTGGTTGGGAAAGGTTGTCTAGAAAGTCTCCGTTGAGGGGGGTTTTGTAATTTTTTCAAATTAAAATATATATTAAATATTAAAAAAATTATCATTAATATACCTTAATTTTAACAAAATTAGAAAAAACCCCAAACTTCCCAAAACCTCGCCCACACCCATTGTTCCAATATTTGCACTTTTTTTTTTACGACAATACCCTTTACAATAGTCTTTCTACTGTAAACACATTGATAGAATTACAATACTTCGAGTACCATAATACCTTGAAAATGTATTACGGTATTTATAGTTCTGTAATACCAATAACTTCAATTAACATTACGGTACTTTAAGTACCGTAAAAGTATGGAAGCCAATTATGGTACTTTAAGTATCGAAAAACTAAAACCCATTTTACCTCCATAAAAACTAACCCATGTTATACGGCAACCTTTTCTCCTTATTATATTTATCTCTTTCATCTCTATTTTTTTTATGTTGATCTCTTAATTCTCTTTCTCATTTTTTTTAATATTTATCTATTATTTCTCTCTATTTTTTTATCTTTTTTTTCTCTCTCTAAATCTTTTCTCTCCCTAATTGGGATATTTGGCCGTATCCAAATTGGCTTGTAGAGTAAGGTTGTAGAGAAAGAAATAAGAGATAAAAAAGAATGAGGGAGTTAAATATGAAAGAAAAAGAATTGATAAAAATTAGAGATAAAATAGATAAATATAAACAAAATGAGAAAAAGGTTTACGGCATTTTAAATGGCGTCAATGTTTTTTCTATTTATCTATTTCATCTCTATTTTTTTTTTATATTGATCTATTTTTTCTATCTCTATGAGGGTTTACGGCATTTGAAAAGGGTTGACGGCATTTTAAATGCCGTATAACTTAGTGATAGAAAGAATAGATCAACATAAAAGAAATTAGAGATGAAATAGATAAATATAAAAAGGGTTTACGCCATTTAAAATACCATAAACCCTTTTCTCATTCTCTTTATACTTATCTATTTCATCTCTAATTTTGGTTAATTCTTCCTCTTTAATACTTTTTCATATTTATCTCTCTTTTCTTTCTCATTTTTTTTTTCTCTTCTTTCTCTCTCTACAATCTTACTCTACGAGCCAATTTGGACACAGCCAAATATCCGAGGCAGAGAAAAGAATTAGAGAGAGAAAGAAGAGAAAAAAAAATTAGAGAGAAAGAAGAGATAAATATTAAATAGAATGAGAGAGATAAATAAGAGATTAATATAAAAAAATTGAGATGAAAGAGATAAATATAGTAAAGAGTAAATGTTTTATAGCATTTGAAGTACGGTATAACATGGGTTAGTTTTTACGGTATTTAAAGTACCGTAATGCTAATTGAAGTTATTACGGTATTTTAAATACCGTATAAAATGATACCCATTAAAGTATTACATTATAATGGTACTTCGAGTAACGTAAGAGTACCGTAATATATTTTTAAGGTATTAGCACCGTAATTATATCAATGCCTTTACGGTAGAAAGACTACCGTAAATAGCATTTTCGTCCAAACAATCGTGAAAATTGAGAAAAAGTGTGTGGGTGAGGTTTTGAAAAGTTTGAGGTTTTTTTTCCAATTTTGTTAAAATTAAGGTATCTTAGCAATGATTTTCCTAAATATTATGTTATATAATAACACTATTCGAATAGGGTCCAGGTCGGGTCCACATGGACCCGGACCCGAACAATGTTCGAGTTCAATATTTGGCCACCCGGACCTGGCTCGTTGGGTCTAATCCTTGGATCTAGGTCAGGTCCAAACGTTGGACCCTGAGTCGGGTCTAGGTCCATTGCCACCCCTATTTAGATTGAAAATCACTAAGCCAGTGGAGGGCCGATCCAATACCCCATACTAGTCTTAAAACCAACCCATGGTCATTTTGGTTAATTCACAATTTCACATACTTTGGATTTTTGGATATCATGGGTAATTTAAGGAATGTGGAGGGTGACAACAAGAAATTTTGTGGCCAATTCACATAATTGAGCATTTAAACGACAAAGGGCAAACCAACATTTACCTTCTTAAGTTCGATTAATCTTTACTATTTGGAGTTTTTTTTTTTTTTTCCAAAGACTCACCCAACTATGGAAAATTTATGAAAATGACTATCGTGTCCTGCTATTGGCGTCATATGAGAAGTTGAGGGCTCATGGTTTTGAAAATAAGCGTGATTTATGGCATGATGGACAAAGCTCACATGCTTCCAAATATGTTGTTTGTCCAGTTTTTCTTTTGTAAATGAAAGATGCCTTGCACACCAATGTGCTCAACATTCTTAGTAGGCACACGTGGACCATACATTGTAACA